CAGGGTCTAGACCTGGGACTCCAGCACCAGGGTCTAGACCTGGGACTCCAGAACCAGGGTCTAGACCTGGGACTCCAGCCTCAGGGTCTAGACCTGGGACTCCAGCACCAGGGTCTAGACCTGGGACTCCAGCACCAGGGTCTAGACCTGGGACTCCAGCCTCAGGGTCTAGACCTGGGACTCCAGCACCAGGGTCTAGACCTGGGACTCCAGCCTCAGGGTCTAGACCTGGGACTCCAGCCTCAGGGTCTAGACCTGGGACTCCAGCACCAGGGTCTAGACCTGGGACTCCAGAACCAGGGTCTAGACCTGGGACTCCAGCCTCAGGGTCTAGACCTGGGACTCCAGCACCAGGGTCTAGACCTGGGACTCCAGCCTCAGGGTCTAGACTGGGACTCCAGCCTCAGGGTCTAGACTGGGACTCCAGCCTCAGGGTCTAGACTGGGACTCCAGCCTCAGGGTCTGGACTGGGACTCCAGCCTCAGGGTCTAGACTGGGACTCCAGCCTCAGGGTCTAGACTGGGACTCCAGCACCAGGGTCTAGACCTGGGACTCCAGCCTCAGGGTCTAGACCTGGGACTCCAGCCTCAGGGTCTAGACCTGGGACTCCAGCACCAGGGTCTTGACTGGGACTCCAGCCTCAGGGTCTAGACCTGGGACTCCAGCACCAGGGTCTAGACTGGGACTCCAGCCTCAGGGTCTAGACCGGGACTCCAGCACCAGGGTCTAGACCTGGGACTCCAGCACCAGGGTCTTGACTGGGACTCCAGCCTCAGGGTCTAGACTGGGACTCCAGCCTCAGGGTCTAGACTGGGACTCCAGCCTCAGGGTCTAGACTGGGACTCCAGCCTCAGGGTCTAGACTGGGACTCCAGCACCAGAAAGTCTAACTGGTTGTGGTTTTTCCAGATTGAATAAAACAAATATTAAAACATTTCTAATCTCTTCACAATATTATCGTCTGCTGTCAGTGTGTAAAAGGAGTACCTGAAGCATCTCTCTGCAGATGAAGGCGATCTGTAGCTCCAACAGGGCTCCAGTCACTGCACACACACACACACACACACACACACACACACACAGACACACAGACACACACACAGACACACACACACACACACACACACAGACACACATACACACACACACACACACACACAATGATCACAGACAGTCTCTTTAGAATTGTTGCACACACTGTGGTTACGTCTGCATCTGAGGGAGGGGACACTGAGGGAGGGATACTGAGGGAGGGGACACTGAGGGAGGGATACTGAGGGAGGGGACACTGAGGGAGGGGACACTGAGGGAGGGGACACTGAGGGAGGGGACACTGAGGGAGGGATACTGAGGGAGGGGACACTGAGGGAGGGGACACTGAGGGAGGGGACACTGAGGGAGGGATACTGAGGGAGGGGACACTGAGGGAGGGGACACTGAGGGAGGGGACACTGAGGGAGGGATACTGAGGGAGGGGACACTGAGGGAGAGGACACTGAGGGAGGGGACACTGAGGGAGGGATACTGAGGGAGGGGACACTGAGGGAGGGGACACTGAGGGAGGGATACTGAGGGAGGGGACACTGAGGGAGGGGACACTGAGGGAGGGACACTGAGGGAGGGACACTGAGGGAGGGGATACTGAGGGAGGGGACACTGAGGGAGGGGACACTGAGGGAGGGATACTGAGGGAGGGGACACTGAGGGAGGGGACACTGAGGGAGGGACACTGAGGGAGGGGACACTGAGGGAGGGATACTGAGGGAGGGGACACTGAGGGAGGGGACACTGAGGGAGGGATACTGAGGGAGGGGACACTGAGGGAGGGGACACTGAGGGAGGGATACTGAGGGAGGGGACACTGAGGGAGGGGACACTGAGGGAGGGGACACTGAGGGAGGGGACACTGAGGGAGGGATACTGAGGGAGGGGACACTGAGGGAGGGGACCTGAGGGAGGGATACTGAGGGAGGGGACACTGAGGGAGGGGACACTGAGGGAGGGATACTGAGGGAGGGGACACTGAGGGAGGGGACACTGAGGGAGGGATACTGAGGGAGGGACACTGAGGGAGGGGACACTGAGGGAGGGGACACTGAGGGAGGGATACTGAGGGAGGGGACACTGAGGGAGGGGACACTGAGGGAGGGGACACTGAGGGAGGGGACACTGAGGGAGGGGACACTGAGGGAGGGATACTGAGGGAGGGACACTGAGGGAGGGGACACTGAGGGAGGGGACACTGAGGGAGGGATACTGAGGGAGGGACACTGAGGGAGGGGACACTGAGGGAGGGGACACTGAGGGAGGGATACTGAGGGAGGGGACACTGAGGGAGGGGACACTGAGGGAGGGGACACTGAGGGAGGGATACTGAGGGAGGGACACTGAGGGAGGGGACACTGAGGGAGGGGACACTGAGGGAGGGATACTGAGGGAGGGACACTGAGGGAGGGGACACTGAGGGAGGGACACTGAGGGAGGGGACACTGAGGGAGGGA